CATTTTACAATCATATCCACAAAGCACGTTGTTCTATTCCTTCTTTTATATACAACATATATAATATTATACATACAATATTGTATACATAAACTATATCTGTATCTTCAATTATTGTTCTTAGTGTTAATTTTTAAATCCAAAGTGAAAGCCAGTGAATCAACATTTAACAGATCGGTTATGGTGGAATTTGGAGTCATTAAGACACAAAACGTATAGCTTGTGATTTAGTACTAGTAGTAATTATTATGCAATTAAATGCATTAGTTTTATTCAGTCTTTTATTATATGACGATTTGTGAATAACTGAGATCAAATTATTTCAACCATCTAATAATTTCTGAAGTAATTAAGACGAGCTAAGTTGTTCTTAGAGGGACAGCATGTTGTGGGAGTTTATTGATTGATTTCGCATGATTTGATAATTAATTCAAATTATCAAATATTATAAACATAATCGCATTGCTTACAAATCTATATTATAAGGGATTATTTTATGAAGCAGAGTTTGGTAGCAATCCTCGTATGATCTATTTACCTCGAGCAGATGCACCAGCATTATATACCTATTATATATATATATATATATATATATATATATATATAGAGGTCATTCGTTGATGGGTTCCAGCTTCCAATTTTCAATTAATAGAAAGTGCAATTGCATAATAAAGACAAGTTGTAATTCAACCATGACATCTCTGCTTCTTAAAATAATTAAAAAAAAAAAAAAAATCAAGAATTAAAATTCTCAACAAGAAAAAGTGAGTGTGTTATTTGTCACTTTAAAAAAATTACCAGCTTCTTAGGAGTAAAATTGACAAATGTTTGGAAAAACTCTCTCTCCTTCACACACACAAATGCAAGTCCTTGTGTAGTTACTTCGGAATTATCTTTCTAAATATTATCATTACACATAGTCATCGTTTCGATTTCATTCCAAAATTTTGGTAATGGATCTTGAAATAATATCCTAAGCCGTATGAAAATTCAAACGTGATAGCAATTATGAACAAAGATTGAATTTTTTTTATTGTGATACAAAATAAAATAGCTCTAATCTAATGCGTGTGTTTCAAATGAATTTTTTATTCTGATCACTTCAATTGTGACCAAATAAGGAATTTATTTAAGCACAATGCAAATTCATATGTGTAGGCTCTAGCTCAACTCAAAAGCCCAAAATATGTTGGCAAAGTCCATTATTAGACATGACTTGGGCTTTGGAGAACATGGGTTTGATATTAATTAATTTAAGTATTTTGTGGGCTGTGTCAATCTTAGCCCAGCCCAACCTCAACCTACACCCCAACTTACACGCTCGCCAATCAAACAAGAAAGTGAGCTCACATGATTAAAACCATATTTTTATGCTAATGAGAAAAGAGCTTTTTATTTTTTTTTCCTTTTTTTTTTTTTGACCTTTTTTTGATGGCATATGTGAAATAAATAAGTGACCTATTTTTATGAGCCTTGATATCTATAGAAGCTAGTCCAAGTACAAAAGATATGTAGTGCAATGAAAAGTTTGGTATTGGGATGGAAAGTTACTTTCACTGTAACTAGGAAGAAAAAAAAAAAATGGTGGTTACTTTCACTGTTCTCGATTTGTTTGAACATAAAATATTTTTTATGTTGTGAATATTTGATTGTCGTAAAATATTTAGAAAGAAAAAAATATAAAAATTTAATAAAAATTAAAATAAAACTATAATTGAACCAAAATTACTTGTTTTAATTTAGCTGAGGAAAATTTTGGATTACCTCATGCTGCCCTGCCCACTTAAATTGGGTTTGATCGGAATTATTGAAGGATGTGTTTCTTATCTTTAGGAAGATACTTTTGTCATAACATGGGACGTGTGCAAGTTGGGCTGGCCCAACTCAGCCCGGTCCCAACCCAACCTCAACCCGAATTTGGGTTAGATTGGGTCAACCCGAATTGTATCCAACATGAGTTGGGTTATAATCCGAACCAAATATTTTCGGACCGGTTTGGTCGGGTTCACGGGTTGATTTATTTTTTATTTTTTTCTTTTTTCTTTTCTTTTCTTTTCGTCTTTTTTTTTTTTTTTTTTTTTTTTTCACACCTTATAATTTTTTCTACCATTTCTTCTAAAAAGTATTTATCCCCAATAATTATTGAAATTTGAAAAAATAAATTTATTGATTTAGTCTCTGATTGGTATAATAATTGAAAAGTTGAAGCATGGAAGAAGTTTTCAGTACTTCTTGAATTAACAAAAGTCATTAGTATTACTATTATATGTCTCCCGAATTAAATAAATAAATAATATTAATAATTAAACTGAAAATTATTAATAAGAACCAGTAATTAATTTGAAACAAAAGAGGCATAACCGGGTTTGCAAAATACCCAAACTCAGAACAAAAAAAATCTCAGTGTGTGTGTTCTTGTTGATCGCTCTGGTCCTTTCCTTACTCTTTCGCTGGCTGTGACTTGGTCCGACCTAGAAACCATGGACGATCTGGGAGCACTTGTTCTTGATCCAACGAAACCCATCTCTCAAAGAAGCCTTTACTCTGCCTTCAACAGTATAAACTTTGTATTTCGCTATTCGCCTCCTCCTCTTCATCTTTGGATCACAAAAAAAGGATCTTGTCGTTCCGTCCGAGTCCCTCCGGTTTAAGCTCAGATCTCGCCGGCTTCTATGGATGGTTTAAGCTCAGATCTCGCCGGAGTTGCATTTTGTTCGTCAATATGAACTGGGTTTCACAAGGTAGCAGTTCTTGATTTCTTAATTCAAGTCTTGTGGAAGCTTGTTCCTGCCTTGTGAATTGAGGCTTTCAGCTGTTTTTTATTCTAAAAATGGTGGCCATATATTAATTGAAATCTAGATATAGAGAGAGAAGAGAAGGATGAGGAGAGAGAAAGCTAGGGTTTCGTTTATCATGAATTTTTTTTTTTTTTTTTTTTTTTTTTAATGAAATGTTTAATTTGGGTTTTCGGGTTGGGTTCGGGTTGAACCCAGCCCAAACCGAATAAGGTTGGGTTTTGAAAAAACTCAACCGATTGAAACCCGAATTGTGAATTTATATGTTCAGATTTTAAAATTTATGGGCTGGACTCGGGTTGGGCTGGGCATGCCCGCCCAAGTTGCACCCCTAGACGTGTATTATCGCACGAGGCCTTTGGATTTCTCAAACAATGATGGAACTTTATTTGCTATTTTCTGCAATTTAAAGGAGCAAATATATAGGTACGCCATATTTTACAATATTCCTCAATTTTGTGATGGAGCAGTATCTTGCTTGGACAGCCTTGTTTCACCCAAATATTTCCTTTAACCAAAAACTATAATTTTACTATTTTGTTGCTGCCGTTTTTGTTATTGAATTTTTATATCATATGTGCCTACTTCATGTTCTTATCGATTACTTTATTTTCCTCATTCTCAACGGTATATGTATATATATATATATGTTTGCTTTGTACCATATCTTTCAGCAGATGAAGAAACTATCAACTTGCTTTTTGGTTGCTTTATTTTTCCATGTAATTGAATGCAGATTTTTTTTTTTTTTTTCATAATGTTGTTTTTGTCATTAAATTTTCATACCATAATGATCTTTCATTGAGGCCCTTGTAAATCCTAAACACTTGGGTTGTCCCGATCTAAGTCACACAATTTTTCTCAATAGGTGTCGTTCTCACGCTTCAAGCGCGCTCCCGCTCTCATGCTTCACGCGCGCTTTCGCTCAAATTCTCACTATTTATAACATAATTTTGCCGCTCTAACACTCTCGCTCTCAAATTTGCCCTCGCTCCCGCTTCCACTTTATGTAACTTAGGCCCCGACCCTACATACTCGTCACCCTAAGCCTACAATGTCCCAAAAGTAATCCTATGAAACCTAAACATCCTGAAACACATTTCCCCATATCATAAAACACATAATGCACGTGGAAAAATGAAGGGTAAAAACAAAAAAAGAAAACCGGTCCTTACTATTCTAGTAGACCTCACAGATCGTTTTGGTTCCAAATTTTGTGGTTGTGTTAGGACCAGTTTGGTCCCAAAAAACTCACAAATCGGTCCGAATCGAACCACCTCCACCTCCACCTCCACCTCCACCTCCACCTCCACCACTACCACCATTGACCACCGATTTCTACCACTGCCACTGTCTTCCACCACTACCACCTTTGACTACAGCCACCTCCATTGCCTTCTACCACCGTCACCATTACCGCCACCACTGCCACCATCGCCACTTCCATTGCCTTCTACCACCGCCACCTACACCACTGCCTTCCACTATCATCATTGTCATCGCCATCACTATCGCCGCCTTTAACCATCACCACACCGACACCACCTCCTCTGCATTTCACAACCGCCACCTCCACCTCCACCTCCACTGCCACCACCACCACCACCACCACCACCACAGCCGCCGCCTTCTACCACCGCCACCTTCATTGCCTTCCACTACTATCACGATTACCCCCACCATTGCCACCTTTCACTGCCGCCACCTACACCACTATCTCTTTCCACTGCCAACATACTACTGTCACTGCCATTGTCTTCCACCATCATCACCTACACCACTAATGCCTTCCACCACTACTTCCACCACCCTTCGACCAACACAATTATGGCCTTCCGCCATCGCCGCCTTCCAACACCGCCACTTACACTGCTGTCGTCTTCCACCTCCACCACCATCATCACCACCATCCACCATCGCCACCATTTCTTTTTAAAAAATTATAGAAGAATGCTATATTTTTGTTAATTTAATTTACTTCTCCCTAAGTGTTGTATTTTGGATAATTCAATATTAAATTCATTCCGTTCTAAATTTTAAATTGGTCCAACCAAACACTAGAATGGATTGTTTCATTCCCTGCACATTTCATATTTGTAACCAAATAATAGAATGAGAATGGCCACTCCATTCCATTTTCACTCTCACTCGCATATCATTCCATTACTGCATATCAAATGCACCATAAGGGTTAAGAAATGGAGATAAATTAAAGTAGGAACCATTATAAGAAAGCAAGGAAATTATAGTGTGGATGAAGTGGAAAATCCGTTATACAAGAGAAGTTACTTCGGCTTGCATTAGATCGCGAAGAAACCAAACACAACTTTCTTCTGGCAATTGAAATTCATAAGAAAGAAAAGTAAACAGATGGGAACTTATATAGCACAGAAATGTTCCCAGTGTCTTAATAGTGTAGTCTAGTTAGGCCTTCTTTCCCTTCCTCATTTGGTATATTTGTTGAACCATGGCCCTTTCCCTCTCAAGTTATATAATCTTCTGCTCCTTCACACAGTATAATGCTGTTGGATAGTGTCGATGTCCAGCCCTTTCAGCTTCACCACTGACTCGACATGACCCTTGAGAGTGTGCAGCTCCCGAAGCCTACAACAATGGATGAATTTGTAAAAACAACAATAACTTATAAACAACATTGAAAGGCCAAAGAAAGTATCTGTATACCTTGCAACTTCGGCTCGTCTCTTAGCCTGCTCAGCAATTTCAGAGAGCTCTCTGTAGCTGCTCTTGTCATTGAAGATGGTAGATGGTTCAGCTGGTTGAAGCCCATGTAAAGTCCTTTGAGCAAGAGCCCATTGTGCCTCCCTCTCCTCTTTGCCATAATCTTTCTTAGTGGTGAAAGCAGTCTGTCGTCAAAAGAAGAAATGATGGATGAGTAAATAAAAACTAAGAGAGCAATTCTAGTGTTTGGCAAAATTCAGCTTGGAAATAAATATACCTTGTTGTCTAACAAATTATGCCAAGCCTTTCCACTTAATATGTAACGAATGGAGAATTTCATTATGTCGAGTGGGAAATAGAAGACAATGCTGTATATCCAGATGACACCAGCCCATCCCCAGCCAATTCCTTTTATTCTTGCGAAACCCCAATTAGCGTATACAGCTATCAGAGTAGCCACCTGTGAAACATCGGAATTGTTTTAGCAATTTAGACCGAACTTTTCTTAGCTTTTCAACTACGTGGTAACAAAATTTGTCATCAAGTCGGGAAGAAAGAGAGCTGTGATTAGCCTAAGATGGAGAAAATGTGGGCGATGTTAAGGTCAAAGTGAATGTTCTGAAGTGAATAAACACACAGTATAATTCTTACCAGCTGTGCAATACAGAAAGCACTCATTAGTAACAATCCAGGGCGTTCGACGAAGGACCAGCTGCGTGATCGAGTGACAAAAATCAGAGCCTGGCTTACAATACTCACTTGAAGGTATAATGCAGCCATCAACTCTTTCTCGTCCGTTAGATGTTTTACACCAAATTTATCCTGCGTCATCAGGAAAAGAATGAGAAAATTTGAAAACAAAAGAGAAATATAAGAAATGGTTACTCCGTAAATATGCAAGAAATAAGACTTCTTACAGAGAAGAAGTGTGTGTCCTTCATAATCCAGAAGAATATGACAGTCAACAATGCCAAATAACCTCCAAGCGCAACACCAGTAGCAAAGATCTCTTTCAATTTCCAGCTATCAGGCAATGGAGATGGCTTCACTCGATCTTTCGAAATTGTCATAATGGTTCCTTAAATTCATAATATTTCATTTTGTCAATACTCGGTAAACATTAAACATGAATTAGAAGACGAGGAACAAAAAAAGTGTGTTTGAACTATTTAAAAGAACGAGAAGAGAAAAAAATAAATAAATAAATAAAATGGAAAGCTTACCATCATTTAAGATGGCAATGATCAAAACCATGAATGGAGAAAAGTCGAACTTCCATATCAAAGCAATAAGCATGAAACCAAACTACATAATGGGAAATGAACAGGAAAACAAATTAGTCAAGAGCTGCACATATTATAACCATGGCACTTTCTAACTGCGACATTTAACTTACCACAATACGGATTGTGATGGAGACTGCATATATCTGCAAAAATAAAGAGGCATATAAGTCGTAGGTTAGTTTCAATCAAACACACAGGTCTTACTCAAAGTAGAATAAAAGAGAAACTAACCGTGTAATTTTTCATCCTCTGAAAAATAGCTCTACTAGTCAGCACCGCGCTGATGATGACACTAAGCCCGGGTTCTGTGAGCACAATGTCAGAAGCACCTCTTGCAGCATCTGTTGCATCAGCAACTGCAATTCCAATATCTGCCTTCTTCAAAGCAGGGGCATCATTCACACCATCTCCCGTCATTCCACAAATGTGCTTCCTCTCCTGCAACTTCTTGACGATTTCGTATTTATGCTCTACACAATGAGGATAAAGAACCAAATGTTAGGACTATTGTAATTAAAACAAATTATTGAAGGTCATTTAACATATTTCTCTTTAGCAAGCACAAACACAAACACCCACCTGGAAATACACCAGCAAACCCATCTGCCTTCTCAATCAACTCTTCAACGGGAAGGGCAGCTATGGATGCATCCTTGTCTTGGCCGAGTAAAGTAGAAGATGGATACATGTTTGTTCCCATTCCAAGTCTTCGACCAGTCTCCTTTGCAATGGCAAGTTGATCACCTAGACATTGAAACAGCAGTGAGAGATTAACCAAAGAAAAAGAAAAAAGAGTACGACAATTGCATATCCAAGGAAAACAAAAGACTAAATTAAATACCAGTGATCATCTTGACATTTACACCAAGATTTAGAGCCCTGCGGATGGTCTCTGCACTATCATGCCTGGGAGGATCGAAAAGTGGCAACAATCCAACAAACTGCCAAGGACTTCCCAGACTTTCTTTTGATTTCTCAGGAACTTCCTGCAAACACAAAAAATATATGTATACATAAATAAACACAAAATTGCAGCTCACATCTACATAATGCATCAAGAATAATATTCATACTTGTCTTCCAACGGCCAGTGACCGCAGCCCACGTTCAGCAAACTTATCAATAACAGAATGAGCCTTTCTCTTAACATCTTCCTTGCAATTGCAAAGAGTCAAGATCTGATGCACAAAATTAGTGAGTAATTACATAAATAATCAATCTCTGCTACTTCATGCAGCTCTAATTCAAGAAAATAAAAAGTAAATAAATAACAAAAATAAAATGATTACCTGTTCAGGGGCACCTTTGCTAGCTCGATGCCAGTTGCCCTGACCATCGATGTAAGTCAAAGCAGTCCTCTTGTCCACGGGATTGAATGGGAAGAAATGCACCTCTCTAATGCCAGCTCGTGCCTAAAATTGAATAATTTATCTTAGCTGAGCCCTCATTCATGATTTTCATTTTTTTTTGTCCAGAATAAATTAATAAAGAACTAAAAGGAAATAGGATGAAAAGAGAGTTATACCTCTTTTGGATCTGCAAGCATCCCAACAATGGCAGCATCAATGGCATCCTGATTTTCAGTCCTAGAAGCCCTCGCAGCAAGCAGTAGCACGTGTTCCTTATCAACACCCTTTGCAAAAACCTCAACCAAGTTCCTATCAACACTCAATTTGTTAAGGGTCAATGTCCCCGTCTTATCACTGCAAAGGACATCCATTCCGGCCATCTCCTCAATAGCTGTCATTCTCTTGGTGATGGCACCTTGTTGCGACAGTCTGTGTGATCCAATAGCCATTGTCACGGACAAAACAGTGGGCATAGCAATGGGAATGCCTCCAATCAAGAGAACTAGGAGATTGTCAATTCCATCCCTGTACTTCCTGTGTTGAATCGGGTACATGACAACCACCTCGACCAACATTCCAACAGCAATGGAACAAATACAGAAGTTCCCGATTGCAGTGAGCACCTTTTGGAAGTGTCCAACATTGTTGGTGCTGTCCACAAGATGTGCAGCCTTCCCAAAGAAGGTATGAACACCGGTGGCAATTACAACAGCTTCTATCTCACCTTGTTTGCAAGTTGAACCGGAGAAAACTTCATCGTGTGGATTCTTGGTTACTGGGAGGGATTCTCCTGTAAGAGCAGATTGATCAATCTTTAACGGATCACCCTCAAGAAGACGAGCATCAGCAGGAACGATATCTCCCAATTTGATACTGATGATGTCTCCTGGAACCAAAATCGCAGCTTCCTGCTCACTCCATCGACCACTCCTAAGAACCTACAGATACACAATCATGAAACATAAGCAAAACAAGCTCATATATAAATTTTGGCATTTAAAGCCACAGCATGGATTCACTACATTCATTATTAAGCTCAAGTTATAAACCTACTAATTTTGAACAGTAACACTTTTTTTTTTCCCTATCTTTTGCTCTATATATGTGCATTATATTTGCCTTGTTAGCTAGTAAACTTAAAAATACGAAGCCCCTGTAGGTGCTGTGACATGTATGATTCTTGTACCTTTGTTTTGGGAGCAAGGCCAGCCATAAGAGCTGCAGCGGCATTTCCAGCATTGTTTTCTTCAATGAAACTGATGGTGGAGTTAATTACGAGCAAACAAATGATACCAACAAAATCTTGCCAATCCGGGGGCTTTCCATCGCCATTGGCCAGTGCAATTGCCATAACAGCTGCAGCTTCCATGACCCATGAGAGTGGATTCCACATAAACCCAAGAAACTTGAGAAATTTGCTTTCCTGTTTGATAGAAGAAAATGAAATTAACCATTGCAACCTAGGTGTTATGGTTGTTTATACACACACACAAAAACCATTGATCATGAAGTAAAAAAAAAACCTTTTTCTCTTCCAATTTGTTGGGTCCAAAGATTTCTAGCCTGTTGGTTCCTTCTGCGTCGGATAAACCTTCCCTGGAACATTTCAGCTGCTCAAACACTTCCTCAATAGGAACTTTTTCCTGTAAAATAGAGTAAAACCACAATTGACTAGCTCAGTACCAATGTACATTTTTATCTTCAAACTTTTAAATAAATGCACCATAGAAGTAACAAAAATATGGATTCAAAGAAACTATTGAAATTTGTACATGAATAGTTATACTAACTGGAGTTGGAAATTAGTTACTCAACACTCGTGATTATTACAGAAACTACTTTTTGTATCTTTTATATAAACCTTCTAAAATTTCATCAACCTTAAGTATAACTCAATCCGTGAGTTGTTTGGTCCCAAGATATCATGTTAAATTAACAATGAAGATAGGTACTATTTAGACCCCATAACTACTGGTTGCTGGTTAACTAATCAATTTACAAGATAAATGGACCATTCAAAGTATTTAATGAACCTGTATCCTCTCCCCTACTGGAAAGTTCCCGTGCACAATCAATGGTGGTGATTGGCGCTATAAAGTGGGACCTATCACTATGTATAACGTGGTTTGCCAATCACCACCATTGGTTAGTGCACCGGACATCTCCACTAAAAGAGAGGATTTTAATTCTTATTTATTCGATAAATTCAAGCAAATACATTGAATCCTGAAATATTTCAGATTGCATTTACAAACATATGGTCAATTGTACTAAAATCAAATCAAATAATGTCACGGTCACTCAAACTCTCATCATTTACTATTGATCCCAGAGTAGTGTAATAAAATGTTTTATTTACTAAATTTTGGATTGAAGGGATGAGAAACTCGGCCCTCCATTTGGATGTGATGTAAGACAGTAGTAGGTTTTATATTACTTTTATTTTGATTTTCACTTTTATCCCTTCGCTACATTAGGATTAGCCTAAGCTGCTCAAAGAGGCCTAGTGAGTTTTGAAAGTCTATTGAATATATTGTAGTAATATTTAATGACTTTCAAAGCATCCCTAAATATAATTATTACACCTGACTTGCAAGTAAATATTTTAAAATTCTTTGTTTACATGTTAAATGATAAGATGTAATAATTTATAGCCCACTCATGGACAGAGCCACTAGTCCCACTGAATTTTTTCTTGTTTTTTTCCAACTATATACCATTAATTTTTTATTTTAAATTATATACCTATAAAATTTTCAATTTGCCCCACTTAAAATTACAAAAAAAAAAAAAAAAAAAAAAAAAAAAACTAAATTCATTTCCCCCTCTTTCCTGGATCCGTCCCGGCCCACTTCACCGATCCGGCTTTAAAATTATTTTCATATATATACCTAAGAAACCAATCAAGCTTACGGTTATACAGAATTTTCAAACTGGTCGAACTATGGCTATTGGCTATTGAATACATCGTTGTTGAGCCCACACAAACACGTCCAACGGTTTTAACTGAGTCCGTATATGGTGGTTGAGCCAACACAAATACATCCAAGGGGTCTGAGTCCGTACAACTTTATTTTCTTGTTCGAAATATTTTTATTCCATAATTTAAAAAGAATAAAAAAAAGAAAATTTCACTCCACTCAGAAGTTGTGAAGTTGACCATCCCCACTCAGTAAGTGGACCCCATGAGGAGAGTGGTGCATGTGAGTGCCATCAGATCCTAAAGCCTAACTGTGGCGATAGGAAAGTGCTATACATTTTTCAGGTGGTGAAATCGTGCGTGCAAATCACGCGACACAAATAGTTAACCTTACATATTACCTGCCTTATATATGCGTGTCACACACATATATGTAGTACACTATGCAATTGTGTATTAGAGGGGTATATTGAGGAATTAAACAAACGAAATGTGTGACTTGTCACAACCGGTCAGACCATCATTACCCAAATTAAATTAGGACAACGAGCAATCCCGCACACAAAGGTGAAGGTACCACGGAAAGTACGCTATATTTTCCAAACTACCCAGACAGACGTTAAAAATAAAAAGACACAATTAATCTTAATAAGAATCATTTTACCCTCAATTAACTAATTATTTTGTGTTTCAACTTTTCAGTTTTCAAGCGTAACCTTGTCTCATGCGTAAAACAAAAGATCAAAAAATTGAAAAAAAAAAAGAAAAAAAAAAAAAAAAACCGATGACTTTTAATTATAATATATATTGTCAAGTTGATTTGATGTAATTATATGAGCATGACATATGAATGGAAAAGATGGAGCTAAATAATAAAGGCGTATTTAATTAGTTATGGACAATTTTTTAAAAAAATTAAAAATAAATATTAATATTTTTTGTAGAAGATAGCTTTACTTTTTTAATCGCTATTTGTACCCGAATTAATTTTTTTATATATTTTATGTAAAAAGGTCGCGTTTATGGAATAGTGGAATATGAAAATCTTTCAAATGTGAGGAGGAGAAAATTTGAGAATATAAAGCTTAGTTAAAATAATTGAGAATATGAACAATATAGTGTGCAACTATAAATATATATATATATATATATATGAGAATATGAACAAAATTAGAGTCACGGGACAGTATGATTATACACAAATGTTTCTTAAATATTACTTAACCCACTATAAAGGAAGTGGGAGAAAACCAGAAAAGTCATTATACAATACTAGGGAATAAAAATAAATAAATTTAAAACTCCTTTTTTTTTCTTTTTTCTTTTTTTCTTTTTTTGGGTGTCTGATCTGAAGTGGTTGATTTAAGAAACAAGTTTGAGTGATGAAACAATGCTCCTCTGATCAATAGACCACATGACTTTTTGTGTGCAATTTGTTGGTTCATAACTGTTTGGTTACGAGATTAAAGCAAAAAAAGAGACACAGAACTTCAGAAATACTATGAAAGTGGAAAGCAAAGCATCTTCACATGCACGGAAATGAAAAAGTTATCCTACCAAACACCCAAAAGAGACACATAGTCTACAGATGATTCCCAGAAAATTAAAGAAATGAAACATATATAAGTGAGCTAAATTTAATTTACACAAACATAGTCCATATGGATCTCATTTTCTGAATGCATTTTCCGGGAAAATCAAAAGGAAAAAAACCAACAAGATTCCAAAATAGATGAACAAAACAAAAGACATAAACGATTGACAAGAGTACGTAGGATTGATTACCAGATCAACAGTCTCATTTTTGATCTCTTCAAGACTCAGAGCCTTATCACCACCCATCTTAACCAACTCAGAAGCAGAGCAAACAACACACGGATTTGAGTTTATATACCCAAGTAGATCACCAGCATCGAGGAAAGAAAAGAGCTATATATATATTATATATATATATATATATGTAGAGAGAGAGAGAGAGAGAAAGATACAGAGATGTATTAGTGATTCATTGAATGAATCTCTTCTCTATCCCCAAGGAAACTAATGAGGAGCTTCTCAGCTTACCCTCTGTGCCACTTTTTATACCTCACCACACCTCTCGTTGATACCCGTCCTCAACCCACTCCCTCAACTTGCTCTCTCTTTCTCTCTCTATACATACACTTTCTCTCTCTCTATCTCTATCTCTATCTCTATCTCTATCTCTATCTCTATAATCTGCATTTTCTCTCTCCTCCTACCGGTGACTTGTCGGTTGCATGAGCCTTCCTCCCTTGGGGTGCCAACCTTTCCCCTTCACACGCCGTCCAAAATGCGGTGTCCGGAGGGTCCCACACCAAAAAAAAAAAAAAACACTTATGCTGGTCAACTGAGCAACGATTAATGTAACAGTTACTACCTCAATTCAACTATTCAAGTAATATATATATATATATATCTGTGCACACATGTTGGGCTATATTAATAATTTAATGTATATTAACGAATTAGATGTTTATACTGCTCTCCCAGATGTTATTGACAAATTATTAAATATATTTCATACAATGAATCTTATGCATAATACATTAAAAAAATAATAATAATAATTTAACGTCATTTAATTATTAGCACGATAATTTTCTCTTTAATTCCAGGTAGGTAATTAATAATTTTTCACATTCAATCAAAGAAAGAAAAAAAAGTTGTAAATAAATTTGATATATGCTTTTTTTTACTAATTTTTTTCTGTGTGACCGAAAAAAAATTAACTGCATAAAAATTCTTAATTTTTATTTTCAGGCAATGTTCTTTATATTATAATGCGGAAAATGATCCTTGTTTCTTGTTTTAAATGTCCATAATAGATGTCACTCATTTTTCTTTACAAAGGAAAACAGTTTAGTGGTTGCTGTAAATATTGTAGGTACATATCCCCTTCGTATAGTTAAAATGTCATAACCAATAGGATCATAATTTGAAATTTAAAAGTTGAACAAGTCCTATAGAATCATGTGTGTTGTGTTGACGTTATTATTGACATTATAATTACATCAGTCTCTATTCACATAAAAATTAATCGAATTTGTTTGACTGTCGGACTCATCCAAATCGTATTATTAATCTATTTAATATAATTACAATAAGTAATAATGAGTTAATCGGATATTATTTATCTTTCTTTTTATTTTATTTAAAAAATAAAATAAAATAAATAAATAAAAACCTAGATTTATATTGGTCTGAAGGCTCGATGGAAATGAAAATATATTTAAATAATATTTAATGATACATATTATATATACTATTATATTATGATACAAATTATATATAATATTATAATGATGGGTAAATAAAATAAGTTGAACAAGAAGAAGAGTACATGCTGTTGCAATGATTTTTTTTCTAATATAAATCTAGGTTTTTTTTCTTGAAATTTATTTGCTATATATATATATATATATTTGAGAATTATATTGTGCATTCATTTATTTGGTTTTAATTTTCATTTTATATATATTTTGAGAATTAAATCAACCCCTTTAATAATTAATTCACGAAAGTTAGTTAAATCACCCCGCTCTAATAGTTAAGGGGGGATTTTTGACAAAAAAATAAAAATAAAAAAGGGAAATTTAATGAAAAATACAGATAGAAAAGGTAAATTTATTGTAGTTCACCCTTTAATAAACAAAGGACCAAAAGTATATAAATGGATGTGTGAGTATATTTGTTGTAAACTTAAAATAAAGATAAATAAAATTTAAAGATAACGTGACATTAAATGCAAGAAAAATTTACCTCCTTACATTAATTGTATAAGGAAAATAATAAAGTCGGCCGCGCATGCACTCCATGATAATTATCCATGAAAGACGTATCTAAACTTTTAACTAAAACATCAACTCATTAAAATTCATAATCTTAGTAAACCATAGTTGAACTGTTTTATTTATTTATTTTGACAAAAGAAGTACGATGTTTATTTAAAATGTTTCACTCCACCAACTACGCCCTAAAAAGGCATACTCATACACTATGCATACCGGGCAGAGCTGACCTACACCAGTGTGACATTTGAATACTAACCAACATGCCTATCCACCGTTGAAAAAAATCTGATGTTGTGATTATCCATTGAAGCCGCTCTGATTGGGGCCCACTTCTGTACTATATAAATATTTTATTAATTTAATTTAAATTTTTTGGGTTAGACTGTAGCATATTATAAACATATGGTCAGTGTACATACGACGTTTGCGTTCGATCTAATTGATTGAAAAAGAGGTGGAAGTGGTAGTGTTTATTTTTGAGAGGGAGAGAGAGATTGACTTTAATCCAGTGGGGCCCGCAATCAATCCAAAAGTCGTCGCTCCTCGGCAGCCTAAACGAACAGCCACGATTAGATTTTAAGCAAATAATAGAGGATAGAGAGAGGGGTTGGTGGGCCCGACTAATGGACCACTCGCATAAAGGGAATGCAACTTGCCCTAGCTCACCTCCTGGCCGTTTGATCTCTTAAAAGCCATACAATGGGATAAAGGGAAGATAAGGGGGCAAAGCATAAATAGCCCATCAAAGAGTTATAGAAGTTTGATTTTGTTTTTGTTTTTTATTTTTATATGTTTTTTTTTTTTTTTTTTATTTAATTTGAAAAGAATTTGGCTGTACACGATGCGAGTGTAAAAACACTCATTTGTGCACAAGCAATATGAAAATCTAACCTTTTGAAGTGCACAAGCAATATGAAAAACGTTTTCAATGATTTGAAGTCATGTCAAGAATGTGTAAAGTGGTAAAATATAATATTGGTGCAAATTTCCTTTCAATGATTTAAAGTATTTAAAGGGGTAAAACAATAATATTGGTGTAAAATCAAATTATATAAATTTTATATCCATGTTCCACTTAATCAATTCACGTTCTATCGTATTTTTCTTTATTACTTGTACTTAAGTTAATTTTTGTTTTTCTATTTTCCTAGTATTACCCCCTAACATGGACTATCTTATTTTTTCTAACTTGATACACTTAAAAGTCTTCTTTGTCCATATCCAAACCATCTCAACTTATTTATCTTCAATTGGTGCTATTCCAACCATTTCATAAATGTGAGTATTTTTAATTCTATCATTTTTAGTATCACCATCAATCTTAACATTTGCATTTATGCTATACTCAATTTATGCAAATGTTATTTCCTAACTGTCTAACGGGTACCATATAGTATGACTAATCTAATAACCATTCGATAGAAATCCCCTTTCAATCATACGGTATAGTTATCGTAGAATATAATAGATGCACACCTCCATTTATCTACCCAATCTTGATTTTTTTATTAACGTCATCTCCAATCTCCCCTTCATTATGAATAATTAAGTCACAATACTAGTACGAACTTAATGTTGAGTCTGCTGACTCTTGATATAATCTTACAATAATTAAGAATTCGCTTAAAAAAAATCCAAAAATTATGAAATTAATTAGAGATATTTATTAAAATTTAGACTGACTTGTGGTAACAAAATTTTATAAAACTGATTTGGTCCTTACAATTGAAAATTTGGCCACCTCTTATTTTTGATGAAAGGGCAAGATAAGGCAATTCCTCCTTCGGTCTCGATTGAAGAGTTTGGTTTTTCGGTAAATACGTTGGATTGAAGAATTTGTAAGATTTATTTATTTATTATTATTATTATTATTGTTTTTTTGGTTCCAGCTTTGAGAATTGTTAAACTGATTTTTAATAATTTAATCCCCGACTCGTTTTTTTCTTATTTTTTTGTGATTTAAAAACGAAATAAACAGTTATCCTCTTCTCTGTTTTGCATTCAATCAACAAAGTCAACCAACTGAACTTAATTAATTTTCTCTGATTTTATCAATCGACAAGTTAGCCCATTAAAGTAATATTCAATCTCGTGAAAAGGACTAAAACCCAAATATGGCATGACATGACTATTATAAACAAATAATTTGGGGCTCTGGCTACGAATTGCATGTGATCATCAATTATATATAATTATATAGTATGATTAAAAATTAAAATATTTATACCACCTACTCGACAGTTAGAAGCAATGACACAAACCCATGGTGCACAAATTAATAGAATAAAACAGTAAACGCCAAGTATAATACAAGATTTCGAACAATTTTGAATTCTCCTCAAATAAAAAAATACTAAACCTCTTGTTTCAAGAATAATTCCTAATTATTAAGGTTAAATTTTGATCTAAAAGAATACAATTTTTGTTTGGTCAATAACTACAAATTCAAATATACATATATTGTGGGGTGGATATACATACTCTAATATATATATAGTTTTTGATATATTACAAAACATAGATTTATAAAATCAGCTCTCATTTATTTATTTTTTTTTATTTTTTATTTTTTTTGAAAATTGACTACAGTATGAAATTTCCAAATTATTTATATTTTTAGTTAATTAGATTAAAAAAAATTTCTAAAGTGTTATTTAATAAAATTGAAATTTCCCGAGTTATAATTTATGGATAAATGATCTCTTCCTCACCTGTGGTGAGCAGGAAACTCGTCCACACTGAGTATAGTGATTATGATTGCAATGTATTTTTTGGTAATTATTTTTTGAACAAGATTTGTCTAGTCACCGGTAAGTAGGTCATTCATGCTGATGATTGATGTAGTCCAATAAATAATCTGTAATTACAAAATCTAAAAAGTAATAAATAAAGAAATTAGAAAGAGTGATTGAATTTTTTCTAAAAAAAAAATTATTATCCTTATTTATCATTTTGTAGATTTTGTAATTACCAATTATTTGTACATTTGTGATTAGATCACATTAGCTATGAGTATGAATGACCTACTCACATTTAGGTGGTCAAGTCTTGACCCTAGTATTTTTGTACTTACATCACATCCAACATCATTATGCTTTATGCCGAGAAAATCTCTTGCTCGTTAGTGAGTAAGAATATTTTTTAAAAAAATATTTTAAGTATTGAAATTTTTTTATGTGTTTTACAAATTTAGAATTTTTTTGATACTTTTGAAATTTTACGTAAAGAGTGATAACTAGCCATGGTCCTCTCCTACAAGAACACAAGTAAATTTAGAATGCCAACACTTTTATGTATTTTTTGATATTCACTACTTAATTTTAAATAGATTTAATAGT